TGAACCGCACTAAGGACACAGCGTCAAGGTCACACACCAAGTGTTGAAGTTTTGGAGGAGGGCATCAGGGTTAGCTGTGGCAATGGGCGTATTTCTCATCCAGAGCTGTCACTAGTTGCCCTGCAGCCCCTGACTCCAGGACCGTGTGGGTCAGGACTGCCGTGGGGATGATGTGGGGCTGTGTTATCATGGGAACCGTCCGCAAAAAACTCTGCAACACACTGCAAATCTTTTTTTGCATATGAAGCATCTCGTTGCTGTCCCTTTATCTCCCTCTCGGACTCAAAATCCAGAGGAGTGGGGAGTGAGAGGGAAGGGCAGGACTGTGGGTTGTGCTGCAGTGGGACCCTCATCAGGGAGGCAGAGCCAGCTGGCCGAGGAGGAGGAGGTGATAAAGCAGCTGGGGCTGCTCAGAGCTGATGGCTGGAGGTGAGGAGCCTGTCGGGGCGTGAGGTCTGGTCCTCCTGAGCACAGCAGACTTGCAAGGTAAGACCCGGGTTTCATGGTTTGGTTTGTGAATGCTTTGTGTGTGGTCAGGAGCCCATGGGACGGTGCTGGGTGCAGGGTGCTGGGCAGCACTGGGGCTGTGCTGGAGCTCAGGGTGCTGCTGGTCCCGAGCTTACAGGGAGCTGATGCTGGGTCCTGGGGGCTCAAACAGATGAGGTGCAGAGCTGGGGTCTGCACTGGCTGGTTGTGTCCCGGGGCTGCGAGACCCCCACTGCAAGTGTGGGGAAGTGTGGGCAGAGGCTGCTCCTGTGACCATGGTGCTGGGGACTGACCCTACACCATGGGCTGGCTTTGACCTGGGAAACTGTTGTAGTCTAAGCACTTGTGACCTGCTTTTAGGGTGTCCTGTGTATGGTCCAGGCGAGCAGAGGAGGGGATCCAGGTTGCATAAGTGGGTGCTCTGGGGTGCAAAGTGCAGCTGTGCTTTGAACACAGAAAACAATATGTAACATGTGATGCACTGGAAAATCTGGGCTTTGCCATCTCTAGTAGGGCAACCAATAGTCCTGGGAACTACTTAGAGCTTCTTCACTCTCTGTAAAATGGGCCTTTGGTGCCTCCCCGCAGCTCAGAGCCACGCGCTGAACGCGAGCAACTGTTTGCACAGCGAGGAGTGGCCACAGTGCCGAGGAGCCTGGAAAAGCTCAGGCGGACATAAATAATTCCATCTTCTGAGCAGCGTGTGAGTAGCACGCTGTAAATAAGGCAGAAGGCTGCTCCGCCAGCAGCGGGGATAAAACAACCCAGCAAGCACCAGGCTCCTTTGCAGGGGACGCGGCGGTGGCCTTGGGGACACAAGGGGACTCCTGTAGATACCATGTGCCTTGTCGCATGTGTGCGTGAGGCTGCTGGGGAAAGCAGCAGAAGGCAGTTGATAAAACGGGGCCAAACTCACACTGTTTGCAACATAGTCTTGCTCTCAGACATGGACTCAATGATTTTAAAGGTCTTTTCCAACCTAAGTGATTCTGATTCTATGACGTGCGCCTGCCTGACAGTAAAGCCACGAGTGCTGTGCTGGGATTTGCTCCTCCTGTTGCAGCCTGAACCCGAGTGACGCGGGGCTTTTGCCATCTCCATGTGCACTGGGAGGAAAGGCTGCAGCTGGAGCTGCCGAGCTCTGGTGTGGTGCTTATCCCTGGAGCAGGGAGGGTATTTAAAGGATGCTTCGGTAGATGTTTTAAAAGCAAATGGCTGGATAGTTTTTATTATTTTTCACCTGCTTGCAGCTGTGCCAGCTGAGCAAGGGAAATCAATGGAGTGCTCAGGCTTGCTTGGGTGGGTCGGGTCGAGGGGTGAGGGCATGTGGCTGGGTGCTCCCCACTCCCCTCCCAAGGGGGGAGATGCCCCAAGCAAGGGGAGATGCTGGCTGGGGTGTGGGGGGGCTCTGAGCAGTGCTGGGGGGTCCTCTCCTGCTGCGGCATGCTGTTCCGGAGTGGGGATTAAAAAAACCTAAGATATTGACATATTTAATATGCTCTCCTGACTCGTCACGTTCAGAGGAATTGTTTATCTCCGCTAATGAGACACAGCTTCCTGCTGGGGGATGTAGCTGCCTCTTAGTGCAGCTTTACAGTGGTGGCTGATGGAAAAGGAAGAAAAATCCCCATCAGCTGAAGCCCTGGGGGCTCTGAATATGTTTCCTGTGCTGAGGCAACATATTGTGTTGCAGTATGGTCCTCCTGCCAATGTGGTCATACAGATGGCTTAATAGCATGGTCCTGAAAAGACCATCCCAGAGGTCTGTTGATCACCCCTTGCCTGAAGGAGGGGCAGTGGTGCAGCACCTCGGTGGGCTCAGGGGGGGAACTGGCACAGAACTGCCCAATGAACCCTCCTTGCTCAGACCCGCTCTGTATGAGCAGGAGCCTGTGTCCACGGAGCCGTCCTGGCAAGAGCACTCTCTCCGTGTGGCTTCCTTCCCTCGCCTGCAGCAGCCATCGGGGCTGACAAAGCCCCTGAGCTGGTAGGAAGGTCAATCTCCACTGGGTATTTGCTGCTAGAGCTGTTCCCAGCATGGCCACGCCAGCCAGCTTCTCCTTCGGGGCTAGGGATGACGCTCCTATCAAGGCTTTCCTTAAGCAGTGGCCAAATCACACGAGGGAAGGACCCTGTGACCAAAGCACAGTAAGAAAACACGACCCAGACCAGCAAAGGGTGGCCAGGCTGCGAGGTGGGGCAGGTTTCCCAGGGAAGCATCCACGTCTGACAAGCGTGATCCCCCCACAGTGTCCCGTCTGGAGGGACAGAGCTGGCCAGGCATGGCCCTGGCAGGGGGCAAGAGCAGGAAGAAGCGAAGCCAGATCTCTGCCTGTCTCCCGAATGCTCATCCCAGAGATCCGAGTAGGGAGGTGCACAATCCCCGATGCTCCTGTACATCCCAACCTGTTACCCCGCCCCGTTCAGCCGGCAGCGAGCCCAGAGATGTCTTTAACCACCCTGAAGCTCTGGAGCAGCACACGGCTCGAGAGCTGCACGGCTGTAACAGGGCAAACGCAAAAATAACCTCTAAGTGACGGTGCTGAAAGGTGGGGGAGAGCTGCAAAAGCCACCAAATGAGTCACGTTACTACGGCTTCCTCTGCTCAAATGAAGTGTTCCTTTTTGGTTTTGGGTTGATTTAATTGTCCTTCCTCCACGGGATGCTCAATGCATTTTCGGATGGTGGGGTGGTTTGAAGTCAGCTGGGAGGGCAGGGGGGAGCGGAAACAGATGGCCATACTTTGGCTGCTCCGTTGGTCCTGGTAAGATCAGTTATAGCACTGTTGAAACAATTCCAGGTATTATTTTTGAATCTGGTTTCCTCCTCCAAGCCGTGTGTCCTCCAAAGAATCTGTCCAAAGTCTCAAGATATTTATGTCTTCAATCTAAAAGTCAGAATGCATTAGCCAGGCAAACTTGGTCTCAGCGAGCTTAAAATAAACCAGTCCACTTTGAGTCTCATGCTATTAAATCAGTCGTGAGTGTCCTCACGGCAATGAGACGTTCCAGGTTTCCAGCTCTCTCTCCAGCGTGCTTTTCTGGTTACTCATTTCTTGAGGGTGCACCAAAGAGCACCGCAACCTTGCTCAGCCCCAGCAAACCCTGGGGGCAAACTGTAAAAGCCTTGTTGAGGACGAGCTGTTCTAACAAATGGCATCACAGCAAGACTGTGCCTCCATGGGGCACATCATAGAATGGTTCGGGTTGGGAGAGACCGTTAAAGCTTATCTCGTCCAACCCTGCTGCGGTGAGCAGGCACATCTTCACCTAGACCAGGGTGCTCATTGCTCCCTCCAGCCTGACCGTGAATGTTTCCAGGGATGGGGCATCTACCACCTCCCCAGGTAACCTGGGCCAGCGTTTCACCACCCTCGGCATAAAAAAATTCTTTGTTACATCTAGTCTGAATAAACTCTCTCTTAGTTTACAACCATTGCCCCTTGTCCTGTCGCCACAGGCGCTGCTAAAAAGTCTGTCCCCACCTTTCTTATAAGCCTCTTTAAGTACTGGAAGGTGCTGTAAGGTTTCCCTGGAGCCTTCTCTTCTCCAGGCTGAACAACCCCAGCTCTCTCAGCCTGTCCTTGCACAGGAGCTGGGAACA